AGTGCCTTAAACTGGCGCCTTAGACCGCTCGGCCAATTGACCTACGGTGCTAACCTCAACCCTACATCGCACACAAAATACCACATAGCGACACATCACACGGCTACAGCCATCCAACATGCATAGACAAATGGACTGCTTGCACGTGAACTGGATAATTTTTCTCTGCAGCTTTGAGCCGAAGAGATTCGTACGCAGTGACGCGCTCATGTACATCGAAATCTGTCTGAAATGATGCAGAACCAATAGAAAAATCAGAAGCGTCACAGACGACACCGAAAGGCCACACAGGGTCAGTAAAGCCAAAATTGTATCATGAAAGAGACTGTCCTTTATAGCTTCAAAAGCTTGAGCATGGACTGCGTCCCACACCAAACTGCATCCTTCTTGAGAAGGTTGGTTAATGGCCATGCCATGTCAGCGTAGTTTGCACTGTACTTGTGCAAGTAATTATCAAGGCCGAGCCATTTACGCAAGTCCTTTTGGATCGACAGAACCAGCCAGTCAACAATTAACTTTACTGTAGCGGGACCCGCTCGAAGGCCACACTTTCCAATGAAGCACCCAAGAAAGCAAATTTCTTCAGCACTAATAATGCAATTCGATGCTTTTGTATACAGCTTGTTCGTGCGCATGCACTTTAGCACTGCTCGTAAATGGTCAATGTAATTGTCCATATCTGACCTATTTTGGTCTGCATGGCTACAGACAAAGATGTCATCGAAAAAGCTTTGTGCATATCCTCGGTGAGGTCGGAAAAATTGCGTCAGAAGACGGTTAAAAGTATCTGGGGCAATAGAAAGCCCTCGAGGCATAACAGGTCACTTCCAAAGCATACCGCTTGTATTACTAACCGCTGTGAGAGGAACATCACCCACTGGCATATTAAAATGATAATTTTCGTCGACCAAGTCGATTGCACTGGACATGGTTTAACCTATCCTAGCGTTCAGAAGAACATTCTTTCTATGGATAGGCGTCTATACCGGTGTAGTGGCCGCGTTAAGCTTATTGTAAGCATGCAGAATACGCCACTTGAAATTTGGCTTTCTGACACAAAATGTCGATGTCTAGTGCGGATACTTGATCTCTAGCACCATGCCATCCGCGTGCTTTGCACGAAAGAACTCGTTAATGACGTCACACTGCTCTTTTGGTAGGGGCCATTGCCGTGTCACACAGTATTTGGTTCCAGGAACCAGGTCGATTTCATGACGTACGCCTCGGTCAGCAGGCAGAGTGAAAGGTGGATCGTGACACACCACATCATGAAACTCCTTAGCAAAAGGATAAAACGGGTATCCAGGATCTTCAAGATTGACGACCCACTTTGAGCAATCAGTGCCGCCTTTGTGTTTTACAAGATAGCCTCGTCAAGAAGTAAAGACGAGTTCAAATCACAATCGAATATAATGACCACCATTTCAGATAAGTCACCTGACTAAAGGTCATGACAAACTAATCAACAGACATTACGTCTAGCTCTAACAGAGTATTCGTGAGGGTAGAGTCTCAAGACTCGTTCCATTTACATCACCAATCATAACATTAACGAGTGTATATAGATGCTCGCTAGTATCACTCAGTGACGTAGCAGACGCCTTTCGTTGCGTAACAGCAATCTGGCGTCTCTGTCGTCTCTGTGACGATACTGAACGTATCAAAGAGACTGGAACTTTCTCGTTTTCAAGTTTAATTTGCATCAATTTTAACTTTATCTTTACAAGAGCCAGTGTTATTATCGACCCCCGGTACATCAATGTCCCCAAAGCTAACATAACCATCAACCTTAAGTTGTTCATTACCAGAGCCGATGTCATTAGCGGGACTATCCCGCCCCAAGGTGGCGGAGTGCATCAACCTTAATTCGGCCAATATCAGGACCAATGTCATCAACGACATCTGGGACTACACTGTCCACAAGGTAAAGAACTGTGTCAACCTTAATTTGATCTATTTCCGATCCGATGTCATGTTTACTGACATCTGGTAATGAGTCACTTCCAGTGATACAACCATCCGGTGGGTACTAACGTGCCACTCCACACTCATCAAATGGGCGTCGCCCTTGATGACTTGGCATTTCATTTTCAATGTCTTGACTGACATTCAGTGTGCCGCAATTACGGCCAGCATCACTCAGTGGGTACTTACGTGCCACTCCACGATCACCCGATGAATTCAACCCACGGTCACTTGGCTCAAGGCCAACAATGCATTCATCATTCAGTTATTCGTTATCACATCGATTACTACTCGACGGGGTACGTGTCGTTTCACTAACAGTCATTGAGCTTCGCTCGCAATTAACGTATTTGACACCGTCTAACTCAATGAGTTCAGCCGTACCGATGTCCAGCACACTGACTGTCTCAGTCCGTGGCTCGCGCCAATAGCGCTTCCGTTTCCTAGCAGAGGCGGGTTCATGACTCTTCAAAGCTCCACTAGGAACAGTGCGCATTGCTCCTAAGGTCTTCGACTTCCAACCAATCCATGGCTCGTGGCGTTCTACCCAAGCCGTACCAAGGACAAGATCATACCTCTCATCCAAGTCAAGGACTAGACAGTGTTCGATACTGTCAAAGTCCGAAAACTTCACGCCTAAGTTCACAGGAACTTCAGGCACAGTGACAAATGCACCTGTCGCCAAGCGAACAGTAATAGTCTCATTCTTTCGCGATTTTAGCGCCTCATCATACTTCTGACTATCTTTCAGGGAGCAACGTTGGACGTAATTTCTCGACGCCCCAGAGTCGATCAATATCGACCATGGCTTATAAAAGGCCTTTACTGTTGCGTTTGCAAGTGAAAAGTCTGGCTTGTACACGTGCTTTGTGCTCGAAGCCACATGGGGCTAGGCCCTGCTCGCTATCACCTCCCAAAGATACAACAGAGACTAAATCCTCCCTAGCAGGGCGACCCGCGCCTTACCCACTCGTTGGTTAGCGATGGGACGGGAGGTCGGCTCGAATGAGCCTGTCTGGCCCTTCTCAAAGAACAATTGGGGCGGAGGTGCTTGATGCTTCCGCACGTAAAACATCTACAGATGTTCGAACGATGTTAAACAGCGTAAAGCTCGGATTCTTCGTCTCTCTCAGCGAGACTAAAGTCCATGGGCTCTGCTCTATCCATGAGATGAGCATTGCTCGCGAGTTCGATTGGAGTCCATGTGTTCCGTAGCGGGAAGCTTCGAAGTTGAACTCTGCGCTCAATACTATGTCCACTTCACCCTCAGATGTCAAGGGTTATGCACGAAACACTCTATTCCGGCAACGACAGCGCGAAGACCCTTTATAAAAATGGTCATCAAAACCTACTCAGGTAAAGGGTCAGCTGGATGGCAGAAATTACAGTTTGCAACTCTTGGACATAATCGACTAAGTCCTTTTTACCCTGGCGGGTTGACAGGAAGCGTGATCGCACGCGACATGCCTGATCAGGCGAGGGGAACACCCGAGATTGCTGCTGTTGCAGCATATCCCAGGTGATAAAAGCCTCTTATATTGAGGTGCCAGAAGTGAAGGCCCACTCCCTGTCTTGGCCACCTAACTTCGATAGGGCCAGGCCCACCTTCTGCCGCTCCGGCCGCAGAAAGCCGAACTGATTGCAACCTCCATCTTGCGAACCCACAAGAGGAGATTTCTCCCTCTTTTCCCCCGAAAGTCTTGACACTAAAGTATAGAGGACGAGACCTTGACTCAGTGTCCAGTATTGGAACATACCGAGTGGGCATGGCAGATGTCAAATGGTCATGGAACTGTCCGATCAACGTGGATTTAAAGTTCGAGAAGGCCTCGGGACGTACGCGAAGTGCGTCCGGGACTTGCGCCACTGTACGAGCCACTTGCTCGTGCCCGATCAACGCCTTGAGCTTCTCAAGCGTGATCTGCTAGGCCTCAGAGAGGTTCATGGCCGTTTCCATCCTCGCAGAGAATTTAGTCTGTAAATCTCAGGTGTAGATTGACTCCAAGTACTGACAAGTGTAACGGAGCTACTTAGTGCTCCTTTACAGAGGAAGTCTTAGACTTAACGTCTCTTAGTTACAACAAACTAACGACGACGTACAGTCGTTCCAGCGTACAAGCTGAACAATCCCGGTTCCAAAAAGGGAGTACGATTCACAGAATCACACACTAGTCACTACTAGTTAAACAAGAGTAAAAGTCTTCACAAGGCTAGCACTCTTGTAGCACGCTATGCCTTGACTGGGTACTTGTACGCGCCTCGTCTCAGCTCCAGTTGGTACAAAGTGTTGCTCATTGTGTTTCAAAAGGGGAACTGAACTTTATTTATTCTTTTAGCTACGGTGATAAAACCCTAACACCTTGCCTGACTGACTTCTACATTACCATCTTATGACAGAAGTCTTAATCCTTATCCTTACCCGATAAGATGCGGTATTACCGTAAGTAGTGTACCAAGACTGTACCACTCAGATCCACCGATCTTTACTTAGTGTGGACACACAGTATAACTGGTTTAAACAAGCGTGTGTAACCCCTTTGCAATCGCCTTCCTGTAAAACTCTGACAAGTATTACAGGAAGGCAACACTATAACTCTTAGCGTCATGATTTTGCCGTGGCGATGCTTTTTCCAGCTATCTACCGTCTATCGGCAGTGCTAGCCACCTCTGGATTCCATCGTGTCGGAGCGGACCCACACGAGTGCCGTTGGACTGTTCGTGTAAGTTCAGTACTTACCGCCTGCCCCCTTCTTTGGCTGGCATCGATTTGACATGTACAGTCTTCCCTCTGCTAAGTTATAGACTTGGTGGAAGGCAAATCCTATAACATAGCAGAGGTATGCTGCGGAAAAATTATTAATTTAATTAATTAAAGAATCAAAAACGCAACAAACCTCCAGGCTTCCAAAACCTGTCTGTCACGTGTCACGTGCCCTATGAAGATTTTGTGATTTTGGTTGCCCCACCAGTCTCTGGTGATTTTGCTATCTCTAATTAAGAAGTTCCACCAACTGTACCTTGCTCACTCACAACAGATGTCGCAGATACGTCTTACCAACTTGCAGAAGCTGCGCATCTGCAAGCACCAGGATGCTAACCCGCGCATCACCCAGACTGCCCTGGCGGCTTGGACAAAGGACGCCTTTGACCTCCAGAAGGCACTTTCCCAGGCAGCGATCAGCAAAATCATAAAAAAAAGGAAGGAGCTTGAGGCAATGGAAACCACTGACCTCAGCGCTAAGCGTCCTCGGACTGTCCAGCACCCAGCTGTGGATGAGGCCGTCGCCTTCTGGGTCTTGCAGTGCCAGCACCGTGGGGTCGCTCTCACTGGAGATCTCATACGGGCCAAGGCTCAGACCTTTGCGGGATCAATGGGCGTCTCGGAGGAAAACATCAGCTTTTCGCATGGGTGGCTCCACAAATTCCAGCAACGCCACAAACTGCGAGCTGTCCGCATTCATGGCGAGAGTGGCTCAGCAGATATGGGCGCTCTAGAGGAGGCTCTTCCACACCTCAAGGCCGTGGTTGCTGGTTATGCGCCACGTGACGTGTACAACATGGACGAAACTGGTAGGTCTGAGAATACAGTACAGTACTGTACTCATTGTACAGTACAGAAGCATCTCAAAGGCTCACTTTCTGTTCAGGTTTGTTCTACAGTATGACGCCCGACAAAACGATCGCCCAGCAAGAGGTCGAAGGGTTTAAAAAAGACAAGGTACATTATTGCTCTCCTCTTGGTTTCCTGCGTTTCTCTGACACTAACAACTATTCTAGACGCGCATCACAGTTGCTCTCACGGCAAACGCTGATGGATCCGACAAACTCCCGCCGGTCTTCATTGGACACGCCAAAAAGCCGCGGTGTTTTGAGCGCAAGACAGCTGAGCGACTGGGCTTTCTCTACCGCAACAACAAGAAAGCCTGGATGACTGGCATACTCTTCCAGGAATGGCTGGGAGACGTCGACAAAAGTATGAAGGTAATTTGGGGCATGCCTTGAACATCATCGTTGTGGTACAGTAAAGGAGGTTTGACTAACGCGTTGACCACAGCAAAAGGATAGAAAAATCCTGCTTCTCATGGACAACGCTCCTTCACACATTGTTGCTGACCTGGAAATCACCAACATCACGGTCCAGGTTCTTCCTCCTAATACGACTTCAAAGGTCCAACCCATGGATGCTGGGATTATTGCCGCATTCAAGAGGCACTACCGCCGGCTGCATCTGCAGAATGCCTTGGACCGTGACGAGCGCGGAGAAACCAACCTTTACAAGGTTGATCAGCTCACGGCCATGCGTTGGTCGCTGGCTGCGTAGAGCGAGATTTCCAGTGCCAATCGCCAACTGCTTCCGTCATACGGGACTCATGGACGGTCCGGCTCTGCCGACTGGTGGGGGTGAAAACGAAGCCGGCACTGTTGGCCAGCAGGCCCGGCAGGAGGCAGCAGCTGCTGCAGTAGAGGAGCAGCGCGTGGAACAGGATCTTGTTTCGGCGCTGGAAAGGCTCCCGCTCCGCAATCCCATGTCGATCGCTTCTCTTCTCAATCCGGCTGAGGAGGAGGAGACGGCGCATGCGGAGCTGACCGATGCCGAAATCATCAAGCTTGTTGAGTATCCGTATGGGGAGGAGGAAGGTGCTGCTGAGGCGGAGGAGGAGGTGGAAAAGCATTCGAAGGCTGCAAAGCTTGCCAGCCTTAGTCTATCCATCGCCCTTCTCGACCTTTCTCAGGAGTCCCATCGTATAGCTCACCGGACCCTTCGCCAAGTCCAAGCTGATCTCCGTAGTGCGAGCACCACTCAGGCCATACTTGATTCCTGGCTGAAGTAGTTCCCTCTCCTCTTTCCACTCCTTTCTTGCAGTGAATAACAAAAAAAAGGTTCTGCGTACAATATTTCTGCTCACGGCGGACAGAAATATTCCCTCTGATAAGTTGTATTTGGCCCTCAGGCTATTCCGTATAACTTATTCCGTAGACACCATAGAACGAGGTCGGTGGAGACCGAATCCTATAACTTACCGGAGGTTATTCCATTGCCGGGGATAACTTAGCAGAGGGAAGACTGTAATCTGTTGCTGAGTGCGTGATCATGTGCAACGACAAGCTGAAGCGATTTAAGAGCTTGGCAACGTTGGATTCACTTTACTACAAGTACACCTATGACAGTCTTCGGTTTCAACGATTGAAGTGGTGTGGATCACGCACGACACGCGTAATCGAATGCTTAGTGATCGTTGGAATCCAGGCATAGGTGTTCATCATGCCGCCGGTTGCGGACGGAACGGTGTTTGACATCGCGCACGCTGAGAGACTACTCAAGCCGACCCGTTAGTGCAGTAGTGAAGCCTCTCACTGTCGGACCGAAGGCCGTAAGTTTGATCTCCCCGGGGACGAACAACCGCTAGAGGTTGACCGGAGAGATAGGAAGTGATACAGGCGTTTCTTACAGCACGATCTTGGCATGACTTACATCTAAAGGTCCTTTAGGGCTGCTGAAGATCCCGAGCATTGGCATGACTTTTGCATTCCAAAACCTGAAACCATGTCGGCTACAGCTTGCGAGCTAGTGGCTCACGTTTACACCAGCGTCAACTCGATTGTCGTGCTCTTCTGGATGTTACGCCTGCTCATCGTCTTTAGCACATACACGTGCATGGATAGTGCGTCTCTACAGCGAGTCCCGACGCAACGACTCTGTGATCATGTACGATGCGCTGACGAACACAGGGTCAGCCCTGTGGGCCAGCAAGTTCAATGGCGACCTCGTTGGCAGCAGGCTGGATCACAGTGGGTTCAACTCATTCACTGTCGTCTTATCAACAACAGGCTGAATCGCAATAGGTAGGATCAGCCAGTCGGTGACCCTACACCACACTGTCGATACCTACGGGCTCTTCGGTGCAGTCAAAACGGGGCTTCAGCCTTCGCTTTTTGACCCTGTGACGCAGTTTCAGTGGCTGATATGGCAAGCAAGTACGCGATCGGCTATCAGCAGGAGGACTACCCTGAGGAAATGATCTACCGGAAAAGAAGATCAGCCGAGCGAGACCATGTGCATGTTGTGCTTACAGCGAGCACTTGTTGGGTCGGAACGGTACTGGGACATCTCGAGCCCCGGTTTCGTCCCTATTGCGACGACAGTTGGACGATCTGATGATGCACTGAATTTATACACGTGCGCACGGTTTTAATGGCTTTGTGTTGCAGAAAAGAGCGAGTGTTGAGTGTCGGTCGAGCTTCCCAGACACCAGGGAACACCTCTGCCATCGTCAATTGAGCTTGAGATCCGAGTGACCAACTAACCAACTAGTCGTGTCCTTCGTGATGCAAAAAAACGAAGCGATGCCCAAACTTCTGTAGCTCTATATCCTCCATCAAGTCGCATCCATCCTTCTCTTTTTTCTGAATGTCAAATGTTACACAAGCACGTTGGAAAACAGTAGCTGTCTGGAGATACAATGGCCATCAACAGTAGTGCAATGGATCACGTATAGTCCCGCTGGACCACGTTCGTGCTGTTTATTCACAAGCAGTCGAGTAGATAAGTGAACAGTCGAACTCTAGTGACGCATTAGCGGCGACTGCCCCAACGAGGGCGAGCGAAATCTCCATGGGCTCGTCCATGCATGTCGTCTCCTCAGTTGTCTCATGTGTTGTGTGCGTGTGCGTGTTTTATAGCTGCTACTTACGTTCATCCACTGCCTCCCTCCCTCACTGGTCGTGTCAAAACGTATGGTGATTCTCAGCACAAGCCTCAACAGCCGTTTTCGTAGAGGCGGTGCAGTCAGTCCGTCGCTATCCGAGCGCGGAACACTGACCAGAGTTAGCGGTCGAACGGTACTGCGTCGTGCCGCCTCATTCGCCTGATACGCCGCGCCGTGTTCGCACAACGAACGCGTCTCTCACTCACTTGTCACGAGAGAGGAGCTGAGCAGTGCTACGGAAAGAGCAACCGACACGTGTAGCAGACACGGGAATCGATCGATAAATAGGGGACAGGAACGACGCACACCGCGCGCTCACGGGAGCTCGATATTTACGCACAAGGGCATTAATTTATTTGACAGGATGGAGCGAACACAGCAGTGGCGATCCAGGCGACGAGCGCGTCCGTCTGGTCTCGTCGTGGTCGTCGCGGTTGTGGTTGTCGTTGTCTGTGGGACGACGGCTACGCAGCTTGGCGACTACAGGCACCTCCAGGAGAGTACTTGGGAAAACGATTATATTGAAGGCGTGCACGCTGACCCGATGGTTGGGGCCGGTTCAGGATGGCCTGGAGCAGGTTCTGTCGCTGACATCAGCGCGAAGAAGCCGATCGATGCGTTACGGGTGTCAGCTGCGGGGTCGGGCGACGGAACGGATTTGCAGTGGACGAATGCACCGATAGACGCTCCCGACATGCCGGATGCATCGTCGAACAATGGAAATAGCTTGGAGTGGACAAATGCACCAGCGGACGGTGTGCAGTCGTCAGCCTCCGGTTCGAACGATGCAGTTGGCTTGCAGTGGACGAATGCACCGATAGACGCTCCCAATATGCCGGATGCGTCGTCGAACAATGGAAATGGCTTGGAGTGGACAAATGCACCAGCGGACGGTGTGCAGTCGTCAGGCTCCGATTTGAACGATGCAGTTGGCTTGCAGTGGACGAATGCACCGATAGACGCTCCCAATATGCCGGATGCGTCGTCGAACAATGGAAATGGCTTGGAGTGGACAAATGCACCAGCGGACGGTGTGCAGTCGTCAGGCTCCGATTTGAACGATGCAGTTGGCTTGCAGTGGACGAATGCACCGATAGACGCTCCCAATATGCCGGATGCGTCGTCGAACAATGGAAATGGCTTGGAGTGGACAAATGCACCAGCGGACGGTGTGCAGTCGTCAGGCTCCGATTTGAACGATGCAGTTGGCTTGCAGTGGACGAATGCACCGATAGACGCTCCCAATATGCCGGATGCGTCGTCGAACAATGGAAATGGCTTGGAGTGGACAAATGCACCAGCGGACGGTGTGCAGTCGTCAGGCTCCGATTTGAACGATGCAGTTGGCTTGCAGTGGACGAATGCACCGATAGACGCTCCCAATATGCCGGATGCGTCGTCGAACAATGGAAATGGCTTGGAGTGGACAAATGCACCAGCGGACGGTGTGCAGTCGTCAGCCTCGGATTTGGACGATGCAGTTGGCTTGCAGTGGACGAATGCACCGATAGACGCTCCCAATATACCGGAAGCGTCGTCGAGCAATGGAAATGGCTTGGAGTGGACAAATGCACCAGCGGACGGTGTGCAGTCGTCAGGTTCCGATTCGGACGATGCAGTTGGCTTGCAGTGGACGAATGCACCGATAGACGCTCCCAATATGCCGGAAGCGTCCTTGAACATTGGAAATGGCTTGGAGTGGACAAATGCACCAGCGGACGGTGTGCAGTCGTCAGCCTCGGATTTGGACGATGCAGATGGCTTGCAGTGGACGAATGCACCGACAGACGCTCCCAATATGCCGGATGCGTCGTCGAACAATGGAAATGGCTTGGAGTGGACAAATGCACCAGCGGACGGTGTGCAGTCGTCAGCCTCCGATTCGGACGATGCAGTTGGCTTGCAGTGGACGAATGCACCGATAGACACTCCCAATATGCCGGATGCGTCGTCGAACAATGGAAATGGCTTGGAGTGGACAAATGCACCAGCGGACGGTGTGCAGTCGTCAGGTTCCGATTCGGACGATGCAGATGGCTTGCAGTGGACGAATGCACCGATAGACGCTCCCAATATGCCGGATGCGTCGTCGAACAATGGAAATGGCTTGGAGTGGACAAATGCACCAGCGGACGGTGTGCAGTCGTCAGCCTCCGATTCGAACGATGCAGATGGCTTGCAGTGGACGAATGCACCGACAGACGCTCCCAATGTGCCGGATGCGTCGTCGAACAATGGAAATGGCTTGGAGTGGACAAATGCACCAGCGGACGGTGTGCAGTCGTCAGGTTCCGATTCGAACGATGCAGTTGGCTTGCAGTGGACGAATGCACCGATAGACGCTCCCAATATGCCGGATGCGTCGTCGAACAATGGAAATGGCTTGGAGTGGACAAATGCACCAGCGGACGGTGTGCAGTCGTCAGCTTCCGATTCGGACGATGCAGATGGCTTGCAGTGGACGAATGCACCGATAGACGCTCCCAATGTGCCGGATGCGTCGTCGAACAATGGAAATGGCTTGGAGTGGACAAATGCACCAGCGGACGGTGTGCAGTCGTCAGCCTCGGATTTGGACGATGCAGTAGGCTTGCAGTGGACGAATGCACCGACAGACGCTCCCAATATGCCGGATGCGTCGTCGAACAATGGAAATGGCTTGGAGTGGACAAATGCACCAGCGGACGGTGTGCAGTCGTCAGCCTCCGGTTCGGACGATGCAGTTGGCTTGCAGTGGACGAATGCACCGACAGACGCTCCCAATATGCTGGATGCGTCGTCGAACAATGGAAATGGCTTGGAGTGGACAAATGCACCAGCGGACGGTGTGCAGTCGTCAGGTTCCGGTTCGGACGATGCAGTTGGCTTGCAGTGGACGAATGCACCGATAGACGCTCCCAATGTGCCGGATGCGTCGTCGAACAATGGAGATGGCTTGGAGTGGACAAATGCACCAGCGGACGGTGTGCAGTCGTCAGGTTCCGATTCGAACGATGCAGTTGGCTTGCAGTGGACGAATGCACCGATAGACGCTCCCAATATGCCGGATGCGTCGTCGAACAATGGAAATGGCTTGGAGTGGACAAATGCACCAGCGGACGGTGTGCAGTCGTCAGGCTCCGATTCGGACGATGCAGATGGCTTGCAGTGGACGAATGCACCGATAGACGCTCCCAATGTGCCGGATGCGTCGTCGAACAATGGAAATGGCTTGGAGTGGACAAATGCACCAGCGGACGGTGTGCAGTCGTCAGCCTCGGATTTGGACGATGCAGTAGGCTTGCAGTGGACGAATGCACCGACAGACGCTCCCAATATGCCGGATGCGTCGTCGAACAATGGAAATGGCTTGGAGTGGACAAATGCACCAGCGGACGGTGTGCAGTCGTCAGCCTCGGATTTGGACGATGCAGTTGGCTTGCAGTGGACGAATGCACCGATAGACGCTCCCAATATGCTGGATGCGTCGTCGAACAATGGAAATGGCTTGGAGTGGACAAATGCACCAGCGGACGGTGTGCAGTCGTCAGGCTCCGATTCGGACGATGCAGTTGGCTTGCAGTGGACGAATGCACCGACAGACGCTCCCAATATGCCGGATGCGTCGTCGAACAATGGAAATGGCTTGGAGTGGACAAATGTACCAGCGGACGGTGTGCAGTCGTCAGCCTCCGGTTCGGACGACGCAGTTGGCTTGCAGTGGACGAATGCACCGATAGACGCTCCCAATATGCCGGATGCGTCGTCGAACAATGGAAATGGCTTGGAGTGGACAAATGTACCAGCGGACGGTGTGCAGTCGTCAGCCTCCGGTTCGGACGACGCAGTTGGCTTGCAGTGGACGAATGCACCGATAGACGCTCCCAATATGCCGGATGCGTCGTCGAACAATGGAAATGGCTTGGAGTGGACAAATGCACCAGCGGACGGTGTGCAGTCGTCAGCCTCGGATTTGGACGATGCAGATGGCTTGCAGTGGACGAATGCACCGATAGACGCTCCCAATGTGCCGGATGCGTCGTCGAACAATGGAGATGGCTTGGAGTGGACAAATGCACCAGCGGACGGTGTGCAGTCGTCAGGTTCCGATTCGAACGATGCAGTTGGCTTGCAGTGGACGAATGCACCGATAGACGCTCCCAATATGCCGGATGCGTCGTCGAACAATGGAAATGGCTTGGAGTGGACAAATGCACCAGCGGACGGTGTGCAGTCGTCAGGTTCCGATTCGGACGATGCAGATGGCTTGCAGTGGACGAATGCACCGATAGACGCTCCCAATGTGCCGGATGCGTCGTCGAACAATGGAAATGGCTTGGAGTGGACAAATGCACCAGCGGACGGTGTGCAGTCGTCAGCCTCGGATTTGGACGATGCAGATGGCTTGCAGTGGACGAATGCACCGACAGACGCTCCCAATATGCCGGATGCGTCGTCGAACAATGGAAATGGCTTGGAGTGGACAAATGTACCAGCGGACGGTGTGCAGTCGTCAGGTTCCGATTCGGACGATGCAGTTGGCTTGCAGTGGACGAATGCACCGATAGACACTCCCAATATGCCGGATGCGTCGTCGAACAATGGAGATGGCTTGGAGTGGACAAATGTACCAGCGGACGGTGTGCAGTCGTCAGGCTCCGATTCGGACGATGCAGATGGCTTGCATTGGACGAATGCACCGATAGACGCTCCCAATGTGCCGGATGCGTCGTCGAACAATGGAAATGGCTTGGAGTGGACAAATGCACCAGCGGACGGTGTGCAGTCGTCAGCCTCCGATTCGAACGATGCAGTTGGCTTGCAGTGGACGAATGCACCGATAGACGCTCCCAATATGCCGGATGCGTCGTCGAACAATGGAAATGGCTTGGAGTGGACAAATGCACCAGCGGACGGTGTGCAGTCGTCAGGTTCCGATTCGGACGATGCAGTTGGCTTGCAGTGGACGAATGCACCGATAGACGCTCCCAATGTGCCGGATGCGTCGTCGAACAATGGAAATGGCTTGGAGTGGACAAATGCACCAGCGGACGGTGTGCAGTCGTCAGGCTCCGATTTGGACGATGCAGTTGGCTTGCAGTGGACGAATGCACCGACAGACGCTCCCAATATGCCGGATGCGTCGTCGAACAATGGAAATGGCTTGGAGTGGACAAATGTACCAGCGGACGGTGTGCAGTCGTCAGCCTCCGGTTCGGACGATGCAGTTGGCTTGCAGTGGACGAATGCACCGATAGACACTCCCAATATGCCGGATGCGTCGTCGAACAATGGAAATGGCTTGGAGTGGACAAATGTACCAGCGGACGGTGTGCAGTCGTCAGGCTCCGATTCGGACGATGCAGATGGCTTGCAGTGGACGAATGCACCGATAGACGCTCCCAATGTGCCGGATGCGTCGTCGAACAATGGAAATGGCTTGGAGTGGACAAATGCACCAGCGGACGGTGTGCAGTCGTCAGCCTCCGGTTCGGACGATGCAGTTGGCTTGCAGTGGACGAATGCACCGATAGACACTCCCAATATGCCGGATGCGTCGTCGAACAATGGAAATGGCTTGGAGTGGACAAATGTACCAGCGGACGGTGTGCAGTCGTCAGGCTCCGATTCGGACGATGCAGATGGCTTGCATTGGACGAATGCACCGATAGACGCTCCCAATGTGCCGGATGCGTCGTCGAACAATGGAAATGGCTTGGAGTGGACAAATGCACCAGCGGACGGTGTGCAGTCGTCAGCCTCCGATTCGAACGATGCAGTTGGCTTGCAGTGGACGAATGCACCGATAGACGCTCCCAATATGCCGGATGCGTCGTCGAACAATGGAAATGGCTTGGAGTGGACAAATGCACCAGCGGACGGTGTGCAGTCGTCAGGTTCCGATTCGGACGATGCAGTTGGCTTGCAGTGGACGAATGCACCGATAGACGCTCCCAATGTGCCGGATGCGTCGTCGAACAATGGAAATGGCTTGGAGTGGACAAATGCACCAGCGGACGGTGTGCAGTCGTCAGCTTCCGATTCGAACGATGCAGATGGCTTGCAGTGGACGAATGCACCGATAGACACTCCCAATATGCCGGATGCGTCGTCGAACAATGGAAATGGCTTGGAGTGGACAAATGTACCAGCGGACGGTGTGCAGTCGTCAGGCTCCGATTCGGACGATGCAGATGGCTTGCAGTGGACGAATGCACCGATAGACGCTCCCAATATGCCGGATGCGTCGTCGAACAATGGAAATGGCTTGGAGTGGACAAATGTACCAGCGGACGGTGTGCAGTCGTCAGCCTCCGGTTCGGACGATGCAGTTGGCTTGCAGTGGACGAATGCACCGATAGACACTCCCAATATGCCGGATGCGTCGTCGAACAATGGAAATGGCTTGGAGTGGACAAATGCACCAGCGGACGGTGTGCAGTCGTCAGGCTCCGATTCGGACGATGCAGATGGCTTGCAGTGGACGAATGCACCGATAGACGCTCCCAATGTGCCGGATGCGTCGTCGAACAATGGAAATGGCTTGGAGTGGACAAATGCACCAGCGGACGGTGTGCAGTCGTCAGGCTCCGATTCGGACGATGCAGATGGCTTGCAGTGGACGAATGCACCGATAGACACTCCCAATATGCCGGATGCGTCGTCGAACAATGGAAATGGCTTGGAGTGGACAAATGCACCAGCGGACGGTGTGCAGTCGTCAGGTTCCGATTCGGACGATGCAGTTGGCTTGCAGTGGACGAATGCACCGATAGACGCTCCCAATATGCCGGATGCGTCGTCGAACAATGGAGATGGCTTGGAGTGGACAAATGCACCAGCGGACGGTGTGCAGTCGTCAGCCTCGGATTTGGACGATGCAGATGGCTTGCAGTGGACGAATGCACCGATAGACGCTCCCAATATGCCGGATGCGTCGTCGAACAATGGAAATGGCTTGGAGTGGACAAATGTACCAGCGGACGGTGTGCAGTCGTCAGGTTCCGATTCGGACGATGCAGTTGGCTTGCAGTGGACGAATGCACCGATAGACACTCCCAATATGCCGGATGCGTCGTCGAACAATGGAAATGGCTTGGAGTGGACAAATGTACCAGCGGACGGTGTGCAGTCGTCAGGCTCCGATTCGGACGATGCAGATGGCTTGCAGTGGACGAATGCACCGATAGACGCTCCCAATATGCCGGATGCGTCGTCGAACAATGGAAATGGCTTGGAGTGGACAAATGCACCAGCGGACGGTGTGCAGTCGTCAGCCTCGGATTTGGACGATGCAGATGGCTTGCAGTGGACGAATGCACCGATAGACGCTCCCAATATGCCGGATGCGTCGTCGAACAATGGAAATGGCTTGGAATGGAATTACGCGTCGATTGATGGTTCCTCTTCCCTACATGTATCCGGCTCTTTTGACGAGGTGCCTTCTACAGCCTTACCCGAGTCTGCTACAATAACTTTTGCACCAGCTGTGTCGCCGTTGACTCCTGAGCCGACGCCATGGAGCCCCGCTCCGGTTCGAAGTGACCCCAGGGCAAAGCATCCTTCAACTATAGGTGTTTCTGGTTCCGGCAGCTCCTCAACTCTTGCGGGATCTTCTGGCTCCGGTTCCTCGTTGTTGCCATCTGGATCAGCAGGGTCATCCTCAGAGTCCTCAGCAGACACAACATTCAGTCCCCCACCGGTGCCCAGTGATCCACGAAGGAACCCACCACCGGCTTCAGCGCATGAATCGAAATCAGGGGTAAACTCGAGCGTGTCCTCATCCTCCGGATCGGCGACAACATCTCTAGCGACAGCCGATTTAAGTACGTCGGGCTCGTCGGATGGGGCATGGAGCCCTCCCCCGGTGACGAGTGTACCGAAGGCGATTACGCCTCCGTCGTCTACGTCTCCTACGAATGCCAGTAGTTCATCGTCTTCGAGCTCGGGTGCCGCGGCTTCATCTGGATCCTCGGACTCATCTAAGCATGGTGTGAGTACCACCTCATCAGCGGCTTTGGACCCGGCAATGCTTCTGGATGAAAGTACGCCGAGTCCTGCGCCGGTGACAAGAGCTCGCACAGTGACAAGCGCTCCCACAGTGACGGCAGGTTCAACTGGATCATTTGACGAAGTCGCCGACGTATCACAAATGGAGCTAACTTCATCAGAAGCGTCTACATTTGATACAGCGACACCGAGCCCGGCACCAGTGCCCAGATCTCCTTTATCGAGGACGGTGACCATGCCTCCGTCTTCGTCTCTATTGGACTCAGTGGCGACAGTAGCTCCTGCTGATGCAAATAGTATCGACAGTGCAGAAGCAGAGGCGGTCACGCAGCGGACTGATTCTAACAGCAAGGATACTGCGGACAATGATAACCACATGGTTTTGCTCGGTGACACGGGCACGGCACTCGTATACTCGGATGGAAACAAGGTCACAACATTCGACAAGTACGACCGCAATGAGGGTGGTTTACGGACACTGAAAGACGGAATCGACTCGTTCAACAACACTCTCGTCGGGGGCGGCAACCGATCAAATCTGCCACCAGGTGCTTCAATCTCACTGTCTTCTACGCTACAGCAGACACAGAATGCGCTGCTCTACACTAGCTGCGCCCTCGGGATCGTGTCCAGTGTTCTGCTGGTAATCTTCCATTTGTTGGCCCTCCAGCGCCCACCATGGCTGGATGAATCTGTTGATGGCAGTGAGCAAGGTGGAGGTAACAGTCGGGCCAACACGGGTTGGCTCACACCCAATGTGTGGGAACTTGCCGTGGTGGTGGGGTACATTCAGCATGTAAACTCCATTTCGATGCTTGACTTGACGAAAGCGCCCCAGATCGTATTGGATTTCACCGATTCGTTCTCGTTCGCGAACCTCCACCTTTCCTCGGTGGCTGCTACTGCCGTCTCGGGTGTCTCGCGTCGGTTGCAGCTGATCATCTTGACAGGCGTTGTTGCCTTCTCCGACCGCATTGGCATCGACGAGAACGAAGCTCTCATGACCTCATTCTGGTTCTTCCTAGCGATCGTAGCCGTTGTGATTGTGCTCTTTGCTATGGCTGCCGGTTTCGTATTTTATCGTCACCGGATGTCTCCAAGCGCGTGGTCACCATTCGCAACCGATCTGCGCAGCAGCTTTGCCATGTGTGTGGTTGGCCTCGGGGTGACATTGTGGTTTCTCTGCATTTTCCCTCTTGTGGCCATGTCTTCGTTTGAGCTAGTCATGGAGATGCGCTACCGAGTCGGAAGTGGTCTCGCTGTAGCATTGTTCTGCTTGTGGGCCGTCGTGTCTGGCGGGCTGTGTTACGTCTTTGTGAGCGTACGAGCCATCCCGATGAGCAAAGCGTTTCGCTTCAAGCATTTCGCAGTGTGGGGGTCACTCTACGGTGGATCCAGAAAACTTTTCCGCTACTTTTTCGTGGTGACAGCAATCTTCCAGATCTTCCTCGGCGTGGTCACAGGCGCCGTGTCTGGTGTACCGACTCAACTCGTGTCGTTGATGGTGACACATCTACTATTTGTAGTTATAGCGGTTATCATCCGCCCATTTACCACAAAGTGGATGCTGGGTGTGGTCGTGGGTCTTCGCATCGTGGCCATTGCAAACTTGCTGTGCAGTTTCGCGTTCCTTACGTCAAGCGAAATGACGACGTACTGGCGCGGTATTGTGGCGCAGGGTTTTGTGGCCTTCAACGCGATCGTGTTCATCCTGTTCTTCATCCGCTACATTGCCATGTTCACCTTAGCACTAAAGCGCTGGTCGGGTTTCATCCGCCGGGATAGCGCGATTCACTCGCAAGAGAGCTACGACGTTGAAATTTGGACCACCAGATCTCGTGATGACCATGCTACCATCCATTGACGGATGACGCGCGTAATATCTGGCACCAGGACGGCGACGAAAGGCTCATTACTTCGGGCGCAAGTGCCGTCACAATACCCGGACCCCTCATCATATTACTCGTCCGAGTACATTCCTGGCCGATAGTGTTTAATGACCAGTGTAATCATCTGGACACTCGCTCGAGCAGCAGCACGCATCGACGTTCATTCATTTAGCCGTCGGTACATCCCTTGGACTTGCGGCAGTCCTACAATCATCGATCATCGGAACCAAGTTTCAACCATGTGTGTCTAGATGTTTGTCAATCGTTTAGTACACGTTCAGTCAAGCAACACTTTACAAATGAGTCTACTACACAGTATCCGTCGTGCTTCACGCACCAGCAACATCTTCGATCATTGAAAAGACTGACTGTTCTCTAACGATGGAGGGTCCAGCTGTAATACCACTTCGTCATCGTTGTCATCTCGATCAGTCCCCCGAGATTTCGTTTCTTCCAGATCCGGATCATTTTCTTCATCGAATGAACAGCCACTGCTCGAAACTGCACGTGACGGTGAAGACGGCGAGTTGTTTCGCACAAAGTGTCGACACACAGCTAGTAACTGAACAGCATTCGCACGGTCTGCTGCTTCGGCTATTGCCTCCACACTTCCAACACCCACTGCGTATTGCAGTGTCCGCTCACAACGCTGCTTCAGGTGGCCCAGCATGAACTGATCTGCAGCCACAAGCACTTCCAGCAAAGACTCGAGCTCCCTTGTCAATCCTGAATCAAGAGATTGGGCCTGCCCCGTTTCTCTACGGCGGGTTTCTTCAATTTCAACAAGTCCGTCCGCGGACTGGGGGCAGGCGGCGATGCTGTTGCAGACAAAGTCCAGGTCGGGGGCAATATCCTGAGCGACCGGACACACGGCAAAAGCATCATCGTGTGTCTCGATGTGCCCTGTGTAAAGATACTCGAGCAACAGCAGGAAGACCGCATGGCGCACACCCGGCACAGCAATTTGAGACTCCCTGGCTTCACGGAAACCCGAAGAAAACATGCCTCGAAACCTCTCACTCAGTGCTGAGAGAATCACCTTGTGCGCGTACACCACGCGTCCTTCAACAAGCTGCCAATGTCAATGAACGTGCACACACACAGAACAACGACTTAGTCCCACATCTTGACGTTTTGGCAAAATGGACAAGAGAAGACTACTTACGAACGATATGTCAGCATACTCGTCGCTATCAACATACTGTGCGAGTGCATGCCGCAGCATTCTCACCGGAGACGGCAGAGAGACGGAAACGCGCGGAGGTGGATCGGTGTCCAGTGTATAACAGTCATTCAGATAATCCGTGCCGCAAGAACCTCCAAAAATCACGAGCATGCGGTCCACCACCGTGCACGTGTGCCCAGCTCTCCGTCCGGGACCCCTCCCTACCACTACCAGAGGATCTCCTCTCTTCGGTGTCTCCACGTCCGTAAGCTCGCACATTTCATTCGGGTTCGCCGAGTCGCATGCATCATCAGCCCAACCATGTGCCACCACCATAGTTTCTCCATCGCTACATGACCCTCCCCACTCGTCTCCACTATTCTGATCATCATTTCCAGCCAAGTTCGCAACTTGCTGGTCATCATCTTCATAGATATCCCACCGCGGCTGCGACCGCGTCCGACTGCGACTCGACCGACAGCTCCACCTCCACTTCCTTTTCTCTTCCTCCTTCTTATCAGCCGTTGCACCGACCGCAACTGTCTCAATCCACTCGTGTCGACGCGGGTCGTACACATGTAAATCATCGTAGCACTTCGCCGACGGCCCCGAGCCCCCAAAGACAAAAAGTCGGTCTCGATGACAAGCCATCGTCATGCCTGCACGCGGCAGTGGCGGCTCGACCACGTACTCTCTCGTGTCCACACGTGCCTCATCGTGCACGCGGGACCACGTCATATTCACCGAGTCCAGCACGTGCATGTCACTGAGCCGCTGGCGGCCGTCCCAGCCTCCAAACACCAGCAGATCGTCTCCAACTAGTGCCGAGCTGTGGTTGGCCCGAGGGGCCGGCGCACGGCCACTGGTCCGCACGGTCGTCCACGTCATGCGGTCGATCTGGAGCGCGTGGAGATCGTTCAAGTACTCGCGGCCGTCGCCGCCTCGGAACACGAGGATGCTCCGCAGTCGACGCACGTAGTCGGCCGTGTGCATGTTGCACGGACTCAGCGCGTGCGCGAGCGCCGGCTGTTCCCAGCGTAGCGTGTTCAAGTGCAGCACGTGCACGTCGGCAGCTGCGAGCGGGCCACTGCCGAGCCACCCGCCGAGGATAAAGAGCTTGCAGTCGGCTAGGGTTGCGGTGTGGCCGTTGCGGCCAGACGGGGCGACGCCGCGCGTCTCGTGCGACAGCTCGCGCCACGTGCGACGCGCGACGTTGAGCACGTGCAGCGCGTTGAGGTTCCGGCGGCCGTCGTAGCCGCCAAAGACGAGGAGCTCGTGCGGGGACACGGCCGTGGCCGAGTGGTTCTTGACGCAAGGCGCGGACACGGAGTCGTGCGGACGCAGCGCCTCCCATCGCAGCATAAGAGCGAGGCGCAGCTGCAGCTGCACGCACGGACGGAAGCTGGTGATGGTGGGATGGGTGGGTGGGTTGTACGACCATGGTGTGGGTGTGTGTTGTGTACGACGATGATGGGGGTGGGTGGGTTTTTGGTGTTTTGGGTGGGTGGGTGATGATGATGGTGGAGTGTGTGCGACTTGGCTGATAAAGAGAGAGAGAGAGGAAAAAAAGCAGAATTGAAAGCATGGTTTTTTAGGTAGTGTAGATTGCGAGTTGTTGTTTTGTTCTTGACGCGATGGTGGTGTTTCGCGTCCAGCGTGGCGCGTATTGCGTGTTCGTCTACCAAGCGCCGAGTACTACGAGCAACGAGGCGCTGATTTGCTCGTTGTGCAGCGTGTATAACCTGCGCGTGCGACTGTCGGCGCTTGTGGAGGTACTGGAATCCGGTCCGGTGGATTGCAAGGCGGACAAGGACGGGCTTTGGCGTGTGGTCGTGGACGCCAAGATGGCTCTGGAGAGCGACGCGAACGTCGCGCAACGGACTTGCAGTACCGAGAGCGAGTTCCGGGAGAAGCTGCAGAATGTTCGCCAGGCTGTGGCACGGGTGTGTCCTACAGACCTGCCGTCGCTGGGCTTGGTGCAGTTGCTGCTGGATGAAGAGCGCAGTGAGGAATCGCTGGCTGAGCCGCCGACTGCGCTTGACGTGCTGTCGAGCGATACGGCGGAGCTCTGGTGGGCTGGCAAGCAGTTCACGCGCGGTAAGAACGTGCGTGACGTCGTTGGCAAGAACGACAAGTCGACGCTAATTGTCACGTTACAGAAGCAAGGGGACGGCGTGCCGCGTCGCCCGGCTGTCGTACGTGGGATCGAGCGTGATGCAGTGACGGAGTTTTGCAGTCAAGAGAAGCAGGAACGACAGCAGCAGCAGCAGGTGGTGAGAGATGATGCGGAGGATTATTACAAGATCTCGCCGTGGGCAGATCCCTCGATGCTCAAGAACGCGCTTCGCGGTACAGACACTATTCGACCGTTTTGACCCGACATGGCGCGATGGGCAGTGGCTGAGCGTTCTACGCTCGATCACCGAGGACGTTTGATTGACGTGGCGTCGTCGAGTCATGTATCGACTCTTGACACAAGCATGCAGTTTGGCAAGGACTGACGTTCAAAGTTCAAGCTGCATGGACAAGGAAGAAGGAAGAGCTGTGACGTGCAACGATGTGGTATCCAGTGACAACAAACTAAATTGCAGCAGCCGGCTACCGTCGTACTCATGGAGTGCTATAAGTGGAAGGTGGGCAGCTGATGCAGTTCTCTTACGTGCTGCTAATCAGCTCAGCCATAGTACAAACAGTGGACGAAGGCATCGCTGGGTCAAGTAAGATCCAGTCGATTGGACCATAACGGAAAAGAAAGTGTTTTCGGGGCGTCTCGGTCTAAAGAGCTTTCGTCTTTTGGTGACAAGAGAAGCGTGCGTTTTGACTCTCGACACGCATTCACGAAATGTGCCAACTTAAGTGGTACTTGAATGCCCTCAGTTGTTACTTCACGCGAGCCCCCCCCGTTTGCCCCTCTTACCCAAACACAAATCGCAACTGCAGAGATCCTGTCAAACTCAATACCATCCACCAACAAAGGGCCACATCACGACTGACGACTTGACGCGAGGGAACCCACCTCCCTCTCTCTCTCTCTCTCTCCCTCCCCCCCTCTCTCTCTCTCTCTCTCTCTCGCGTCCCTCTCCTTCTCCACCATGAGCGACGTCACCCCCAAGATGAAGACCGAAGACCTGGAGGAAGAAGCCGCCACCAAGTCGTCGCTCTCCCGCAGTCGTCGCACCGACAGCAAGGCCAGACGCAGCAGCTTAAGTAGCAGCAGCAGCAGCAGCTACTCGGACGAGTCCAGTGTCCCGTCGTCTCCGTCCCGACGGCAAGAAGAGCGGCCGAGATTCGACTCGAGAGCGTCGTGGGCAGATTCGACGCGCTTTGACATGGGCCGAAGCGACTCGCGGGCGTCCGAGTTATCGGCCAAGGACTTTCGCCTCACGGTGCTGGGCAGGTCGCCGTCCATGTCTCAGAGCCGGGGGCACCGGTCGGACTCGCGGGTCTCGCGGCTGTCAAGGAGCAATAGTCGCTCCAGTATGAGCGGCTCGGAACGAGGTCGGCAGTCGTCGTTTGTGTCCAACTTTGGCGTGACGAAAGGCAAGAAGCGCAGGGACAGCACGGCCCTGTCGACGATCACGGAGAACTGGAACGTGGCGGATGACCAGTATGGCAGTCCTTTTACTGAGATGGATGCACATGGTGAGCGGAGGAAATGCAGCTGCGGGAGTTCTTATTGAAGGTGGCTGAGGACGGTTTATGTTCTTTTGTATTGGTGATGGTGATGCTAGACCAACCTGTTCGAGAGGAGTTACAGCGCGGACTGTCCATTATCAATGACCATACGGTGCGGATGTGAGCTGGAAATAGCAGGGGGACAGAAGTCTAGTGGTTACTGATGACGGTGCGTGCTTGATGTGTTCCAGACGAAGCTCAAGGAGATTGAAGATGCGATTACAGCGGCAATGTCGGAAGTGTGGGGATACTGGGTACGAATGAGTTGTACATCGATCTTGATGGTGGTGGAACGTTGTGAGGAACGCTCACGGTATCGATTGTCTGCTGGACTAATGCAGGCAGACCCGATACAGCTCTACCTCCACCCGGCCGAGCGCGTGGATGTCCAGGATCTGATCAAGACGGACAACGAGTTGTTCAACAAGGTCTTGACGGTATTTTCGGTGCTGTGCGACGAGATCTCTGAGCTCAAGGTAACGGTGGAAGATAATTTCTACCCCGCGCTTATCATGTTCGGCCAGGCGTGCCATGGAGAGGAAGACAACATGAAAGCTGGAGAGAGCGAAGTCCACATTGGACGCATGCTTGCGTTCTTCCAGGACATGTCTAACTTTGTGGACCGGTGTAATGCCATCACCATTAACATGATCCACCAGCTTGCGAGTCTGTATCAAAGTTTTCAGAAACTGTGGAAATCTACGTTCAAGCTTGTGCACCTCCACCCCGTGTTTGACGCGCTGGCAAGTCTGCTTGAAGTTATGATAACTATAGATGCTATCGTCGTTGACAATCCGAGTATCATAACGTCGTGGGACAAATACAAGCGCATGATGCAGTACGTGCGCTCAGACCCGCCACGCTACAACGTTACAGCTGAGAAAGTGAAGCAGTTTGAGCGGCTTCTCGTCAGCCTGGATCAGACGATAATGAGCGCGCAGGTGTTCCAGAGTTGTATCGAGCAGGACTTTGAGGTCTTTTCTGGTGGCGACGTTGCGGAAGACGACGAGGATCTTCATGGAAGTGACAGCGGTCGAGGCGCTGGACGTGCGAGCAGCAGTGGAGCAGAGTCCAGGATTGACATTCGTTCGAATCGAGTGTTTCTGGACGAATTTGTCCGCTGTATCAGTACTCGCTTGAGTATCGCTGAAAGTGCGATTGCGTCAGCGACGGAGACGTTTGAAAGAAACGATCTTGTGGGCACGGCAGGACTATACGTGCTACTTCGTGGATTGCATCCACCCAGCGTCCCTGTGGAGCCTGTTCTATACAAAAGGCTATGGGAAATGCAGTTGAAGGCTCCTTGTGTGACCATTTGCGGTAAGATCATGTGGTACATGCCCGACTTTTTGTCGAAGTACTCGCCAATGACGTCGAAGAAGCTGCATCCGGCCGACGCCACGCAGTTTCGTCGTGAGTATTTACATTCGCTAGATCGTGCGTTCCCAGCTGATGTCACAACCGCTAAGTTGGAGTTGAGTGCGTGGCTTGTTCGCATGGAGTCATATTTCCAGCCGACGACACGCGGGATGGGTGATGTGTCACGAACTCTAAGCATCCGTGGCAATCTTATACTCAAGGGCTTGATTTTGGCAAAACGGGTGCAGACCATGATGCATACGTTGGTCAATTTGCACCTGTCTCTTCAAATTCCGATGCCTAAACGGGTGGTAAGGCCGTTGTACACGTGCATTGAGATTCTGAAAGCAGTTGAGTTTATGTTCGCGCGGAAGAATCCTATTCTGGCCGAGTCGTCGTCTCATTTGTTACGCCAAGTAGCGCACTCGTTGTTCTCGTTCTTCCGTCCGCTGAAAGCGCACTTGGAAGCAAGCAAGAAGTTCGATGACACAAAGCTGGACGTTCTAGCCGCTGTGACCGTACTGGAAGATATCCTTAACTCGGGAGAGTCATTTTCGTACACGCGAATCACCGTGCTTGACCTTGCAGCTCAAATCGCGATGATATCGTCGGAAAACGACGGTGCTGCCAACGAGAAGGGCGACGATTCGGGCACTACCGTCCGTGCGGGTCTGAAAGATGCCGGTGAGCCTGTGAAGCTTATATGGAAGCTGCGTCTTTTGAGTGATTTTCAGCGCAAGATTCGTAGTGCTTGTGATTGCTCTTTCTTCTACTGGAGTCGCGAGTTGTTGCACCCGTTCTTGGCGGACCTCTACCGTCAACCCGAACAAGCCAACCGCATTCAGTACATTGTTGGTGGGTTTCTTGACGCAATAAAGCTGCTACGTGGTGCACAGCACGAGACAGACAACGATCGATATGTGAATGCGTACGCAGAGTTTATCGAGTCGGTCATGGAAGAGGAGATTGTGGAAAATCTGTGCAAAGACGTGGAAAATGATCTTCGTCTGCACGTGCACTCGGTTCACTTGGATCACTTAGATGCACCCAATCCAAAGAGCGCCGACTTCAGAGTTCTGCACTACTACCTCAATCTGCGGCCCATCCGCCTTCACGGAAAAATGCTTGATCTGCGACAGCAAGTTACGCATTACCTCGAGAGCACTTTCTACAACTTAACTACTGTCGCTCTCCATGACTGGAAAACGTACGGTGAGATGCGTAATTTGGCGAATGACAAGTACGGTTTACGTCTCGCCGACAATCATCTTCCTATGGGTTCGCTTGACCAGGGATTAGATGTGCTTCAGATCATGCGCAACATCCAGATTTTTGTTGCTCGGTACAACTATAATCTGAACCAGCAGTTTTTCTTGGAGCGACGCAGTGACAAAGGCTCTCGACACTTGAACTCGATCAACATCCATTCGATCGCGAGCTCGATACGCACACACGGCATGGGCATTATGAACACGACGGTGAACTTTACGTACCAGTTTCTGACGAAGAAATTCGACATTTTCTCTCAGTTCTTGTTCGACGAGTACATCAAGAGTTACTTGCAGCGCGAGAAACGTTGGTACAAGAAACACCGCGATGACAAGGAAGTGGATAACAAGTACCCTTTTGACCGTGCTTTTCACTTCAACAAGGACATACGGAAGCTCGGCGTCTCGGATTCTGGCAAGACTTTCTTGGACCAGTTCCGCATGTTGATTACTGAAATTGGCAATGCGTTGGGCTACGTGCGCATGGTGCGCTCAGCCGGCATGAATCATTGCAGCAATGCCATAAAATTCGTGCCAGATCTGAACCGCGCGCACTTCAAATTCGAAGCTTACGCTGGTGACGGCGTCGCTGAAGAAAAGAACGAAGAGACGGGTGAGGTGGTTCAGAGTGAGATCGTGGGCGCGAAGTTGTCCCGTGAGACTGTGGTGGCAGCTTGCAATCTTGATTCCGTTATCTCGACTCTAGCCAAGAACTTTTCGGAAAACAATGACTACTTCAAGGTACTCGTGAAGGTTTTCCAGGACGTTACAGTCAGCGACGAGCAGAAACATTTGGTCAATTTCTACGCCATTCTCCCGGCACTCACCATCAACTACGTCGAGACGACTGTGCAGGCAAAGGACCTCATGTACAAGAACACGCGTCGACGAGAATCGTACTTTTCAGATGATGGATTTGCGATCGGTGTTGCCTACATTCTAGCCATCCTTGATCAAGGAGAGGTAGGGCGTGTTTATTCGATGGGAGGCACCTTGACATAATTTTACTTACGTTGTTCCGTTTGTAGCAATTTGACGCGCTGCACTGGTTTGAAGAGGTGGAGCGGAAGTACAAGGTCGAGGAGGAGGCCTACAATGAGAAGCAAAGTGAACGTGAGGCCCGCAAACGCGAGCAGACGGCCAAGAAGCAGAAGGAGACTGCTGCTGAGCTGATCGATGACGAGGAAGAAGTGCATACGCTGCAGCTCACCGCCAAACGCATCGAGTTGAATCGCCGTGAGTTTGACCTGCTTGACTGGTCTCTCAACGGCGCTCGGATTTTTTTCAAGGACTAAATGTCGTTGTAGTACTCGTAAGTGTGAACCGTAAGCCGGATGGTGTGTGTGCGATGATGCACTCGATTGGGCTGCAATGCAGAACATCAGACAATTTGATTGAAACAATGGCGACTATGTTTGTGGTACGAATGGGCTCAAGCAAGTGGTGCAAAAGCAACGTAGCGTTGTCGCCGTACCGGTGTGATACCAAATGCCACACAGTCAGACGATGGTTCATCGATTCGCAACTTCGGCACAAAGTAACTGGTGTGAGGTAAGCTTTCTGTTTATCATGCTTGGTCCAACTACCAGTTCGCAAGCACCGCATAGGTGTAAAACGCGTTGCCACTTGAGATGCGTCGACGACTTTGACTCACCAACGTAGAGAATGAAGGTCGTCACATAGCTTACGGGGTAGTGCATGGTCTGAGACTGATTTGAACCGAGTGACGGCACTGATACATTGCGCAATATACGACAGTCCATCCATCCCCAGCCACCATTTCGGAAAGGCGTATCAACCCTACTTGGCTTGGACGAGATCAAGCATGCAATTAGGCACATTCACATTCTTAAAAATGCTCGATTCGCTACCGGACCGTTCACATCGAAATGACCACTTGCATCCAGCTTAAGTGACGTCACTTTCAACGATGTACGGTACCCTGCAGGACTCTCTGTTGACTACGCATATTGCTTGTCCTTTGTTTAGCTCACACATTCAGCAAATGCTGAATTCTGAGACGTACATCGCGATACAATTTCATCAGTTGTACGTCGGCCAACTTTGCAACTGTAAGTATGGTTACAGCAGCCACCGGCATCGATGTGAAAGCCCAATAATGACTGAACCGCCTTGACCTTCTCGCGCCTCGTGCGACATCTATACCCATACTTTCTCGTGATCGATCCATTGTGCTTCTTTGTAAGTCTCCAGCGATGTCCAACATGATTCAGAGGTGCAGATATTGTCATGGACCAAATGTCTTCGACGCCAACGTTTCTGGTGGCTATGTCAATAGAACCCTCCATGAGAGCTCCCACGATCCAGCGGTTTTCTGCAATTACACTCACCTCGGAACAGTTCGATGTGCATTTAACCGTCACTAACCGCGTTCGAGAAACAACCGACCGCTTGCTTAATTACCGAAGATCCTGAAAAATACAAAATGTTGTCGCTTTCATCCATGGGCTCAGGCCAGTTCAGCGGAGTACCACAAGGCCAAATACGATACATGGCGACAGCAGGCTCTGCGGAACCACTACGCACGGTGACTCATCGCTCAGTTCTTTCGCCGCCAATCTCATGAGCAGCTCTCATCCATTTTAAACGCTTTTCGTCAACAATTCGTTCTTGGCGCCGTGCAAAACTTCCATAATGTCCTTTGCGGTCGGCCGGCTCATAGGTGCGTACGAAAGACACCGCTCGACCAACTGCCGTACGCTCGCTGGCGCTGCAAGGTATTCATGCCGGTTCTCATGTGGTGCTAGCAACTCCCGACGCCGCACCCGCTTTGCAATCTCTATATCTGACATTGTGTTGCCCATTTTCTCGACCAGTGACTGATATGGCGATACTCGCGAAAAGATTTCGCTAACCAAAACGCCAAACGCGTAAATGTTGCTCTTCCGCGCTTCCGTCGGACATGACCGGGTAATCACCTCGGGTGGTAACCATGCAAGCTCGCCCATACCGTATGAATACGCGGCTACAACATTCGAGCATCCTAGTTTGGCAGAAATCGGGACGCACTCGAAAAGGCTGAGCTTGCAGCTCATAGCCTTGTTCACGAGTACCTTTCGGCTGGACAATTGCCTTGCACACATATTGCGCTCAGACTCATGCACATATGCGAGCGCCAACGCCACATCACTGCACATCTGCAATTTCGTTGCGACAGTCAAGTCCACGTCCGTGTTTGCTAACATAGTCTTCAGGTTACCCTTGTCCATGAACTCAGTCACCACCGCAAAATCCGTGCCGGCCAGCCAAGTGACCCCCACCAAATTCGTAATATTTGGATGCGAGATGACAGCGAGCATGCGAGCTTGGGCCATCAGCGCTTTCGTTACGTACGAGTCCGTCACTTCCGACTCCACACGCTTCAATACCACCTTCCCGCCATGATACTCGCCCATCCAAAGACGACCCGTACCGACAGATTTGACCAGTGCTACATCACTCTGTGGTAGCCGGAAGTTCCGCAAGAACTCGTCGTTCGAGATGAATGAACTTTTATTCGCAGCTTCGCGTTTGCTCATTAGCGTCGTTGCAGCGTCGTTGCTGGGGGAGCTCGCATTGGCAGCCTTGCGTCTCACGTACATCCGCAAAAGGAAGAGCGTAAGAAGCACAGCGAACACGACGACTACGACGATGGTCGCAACAAGAGCTCCTGTAGATATACTACTGGTGCTATCGCCGGAGCTCACACCTGCTGTCGAACCATCGCTGACATTATCACTACTGCTGATAGAAGAATGACCACTTGCAGGTACCATGCTGGGCGATGAGCTACCAGTGCCGCAAACTACTGTTCGTTCCGTACTTCCAGAAGGAACCGTCGCACTCAAGATTTCCGGCATTTCGCAGCTCGAAGCGTAATCGCGAGCCCAAGACTGTGCCGAAAGTGTCTGAAGATTCGCTTCCAAAATGCTCAGCTGCTTCGAGCTGAGTTCGGCTTCGCCATGGACTAAAGACAAATCTACCATTCTGCACAACATCCAGTCCGCCAGTCAGTAACATGCCCAATACTCCAAGGACCTCGTGATGTCAGTAACTTGTCCGTCTTACACGTTCACATTGCTGTGCAGGTCTCGTTCGTAAAGGAACGTTGGTAGCTTCGCAACACTTGTGCCACTCAAGTCACTGTCCAAAGAGCAGCAGCAAAAACAACGTCAGTAATCAAACTGGCTCACGACGTCATAGCAAAAGCAGCTCACATTTGAGTCAACGCCTCTCCGGGCAATGGCAGTGACAGATCCTCGATATCCGAGTTGATAATGCGTCTACACAACAGTGTCCACGCAGCGAAAAAAAGAGAGCAGTGAAGAACCGTCAGCACGTACGGTATTCGCCCCGTCCACACTCAGCTACAGTCACTCTCCATACACATCGGTCGTGACGTTCTGAGTCATTAGCTCGACGCTGTCCATGACTACGTGTGTAAATATTCTGCGCCACACAACACCATCACCATACCGACACTACCGTCAGCACCACAACAATTTCACCCCAAAAGGGACCAAATCCACCAGTACGTACAAGCTCTTGAGGTGGCTAAAGTAGCGGAAGTCCAGCTTCCCCGGTGATAACACAGGCTTGATCGTCGCCGACGAGGAAAAGTTCCTACAATCAACCCACGACACGAGCCACATCACGTCAACATTAGGCACTTCTTGTCACGGGGCTACACAAAGAGACGAAGAGAGAGAAAAAAGGAAAAGCCATTGAGAGACCCACAGGATTTCTACGCTCGAGCCCTTGAGCTCCAGCGCCAGCGTCTCGACGTTCACGTCGACCATGAAGTAGCCGTTGCCCATTTGCGCCTCTTTTCTCGTGCCGTCCGAGCACAAATACGACGCCGTGAGCTCTGCGATCGTGAGCGTCGCTGGCTGTTGCGACGGACACGAGACGTCGAGCGTCCACTCGGTGGCCGCCTTCGAGACGAAGCCAGCGCCTACGAGCGCCGTGATGAAGCAGCTCTGGCCAATGGGGCGCATGGGAGCGACGACGGACGTACGAATGGGTGGACGGATGGACCTAGAGGGCGTTCGTTCGTTCGTTTGTTGCGGGTCAAAGTGCCGCCTGCTGCTGCTGCTGCTACTTTTGTGTCCGACTTTGGCTACTGACTCGACGCGCGCAACGACTGAACCCTTTTGGGACCGAGCATAGCAAAACCAAGTTTAAAACAGCCGCACCCCTAAAAAACAAAGCCGGAGCAGGGTCGGTGCAAAAGACGGGCGACTGACTGACTTGGCTTTTTCTCTGATCCTGCCTGTTGTGTAAAATTTCATCGACTCAAATCGCGACTTTTGGCGGTTTTGGGCGGCGCTCTTTTAGCACGTGAAGTAGCATTACCCCCTGCGACACCTTTGCTGCCTCGACTTACTTGGCGCAAAAGTCGCCTTTTTTTGACTTGCGACTGAAGTGTACATTCAAGCACGAAGTGAAACGGCTATACCAGCGGCTGGAGTTGGAAGGAAGTACATACAAAGGAGCGCTTGCAGCTTTGTTACTGATTCAGTAAAAATAGTCAGTCGACGACCCATGATTGCACTGAAGATTCGGGTCACGATCGATGTCACGGCTTTCTGAAGTAACTGAAGACTTTGCAAAAACGCCGCAAATTTTGTCGAGAGAGATACAGACTTGCCACAAGTCGAGAGGAAGTCGATGACGATCGCGAGCCCAGCTTTGAAGCCATAAATAGACCAGCTGAGTTGACGGTCACAAAAACGGCTACGTCTCGTTTCTGCACAAAAAACGGTCCTATTTTGGATCATTGGTCCAGCGTGAAATGTAGCCATTATCAGCCAGCAGGTCTCACGCAGCACCAGCGAAATGGCGTCGACGGTAAGAAGCTCTTGTCGGTGGAACAATTGCGCGGACACTTTATGAGTTTGACGGCATTTTTTTCGTTGACGTTTCGATTGAAGCAGAGCGGCAGCGAGCAGGATGTGGAGGACCAATGGGATGACATGGCCATTGTCCGGGTAAAGTGGTCGGAGCTGATGGGGTTGCTTGGCGTCGACCTCTCCCTCTATCTCACATATCTGCTGTGTGTTGCATCCAGGCGTTCGAGGAGGCGCTTACTGACCAGCGCTCGCGCAGCTCGAAACCTGTAAAGTCAACTGGAAGGTGGTGCACTTGCTGTTGACTCAATGAACAGAAGGTCGTTCGCATCTCCCGTGTATCGTCCATCACTAACTGTTCTCTTTGGCAGGACACAGCAGGCAGTAGCGTCACAGTCGAGCAGCAAGGGCACGAACCAGAGTATCGCCACTGACGAGCGATGTGAAGTGCCAAAGTCCGGGTGTGAGTATCCAGCATCTTCTGCAGCGCCACGAGCTCGAGAGACGTATGGAGAGTCACACGCGGGTGTACATGCAGATTCTTCGGCTAGAACGAGCCCTTTTGACTACCAGAAACAGCAGCAGCAAAGTGATTTGTACCAGGCTGCGTACGCTCAAGCATTTGCCCAGCTTCAAGCTCAGTTCCAGGCTGCGTATCCTCCAACGACTTCGCAGCCGTTTGGGCCAAGTATCCAGATGCCGGCCCAATCACCGTGCTATCTACCAGCTGCGCCTTCTCCATCTATCCCGATGCCGTTTTCTGGGATGCCTGCCGGTCAGATACCAGGATCAGCGGTGCCCGGCCCAGCAGGGCCAGATGACGGTTTAGCGAACGTGCTCATGTCGTGGTACCAATCCGGATACTACACTGGACGGTTTCAAGCAATGCAAGAGATGAAAATGCGAGGCTATCGGTAGGAGAGATAGTTTGTTGGAAGTGGCTATGGAGGACGTGAGGTGACTCCCGCCTACCGTTACGTCGCTTCGTGCCAAGCTTTTTGCCGGTCGCTAAAGATCCACGCTAATGCAACAAACTGATCATTGTTTGCACTCTTTTCCACTTATTGGCGCTTCTTGATCGCAGCTTGTTTAGTACTCTTGGATCCTTCCTGCATGAACTTGATCAGCCAGAAAAGCTGCACAGAAATGTCCACACAAGAGCATGATGAGTCTAGTAACAACGAAGAGAAGGTGGAGTCACATTACATACGAGTGCGAGCACGTGAAGCCCCACGAGTCCACCCACGAGCGCGTTCATGCCGAAGCCCAGGTCCAAGCCGAGGAGCCACACGCCGTTTTCAGCCATGCTGATCAATCGATTTCTGGAAATTAGAACAAGTGTACATTTGTTCCTCGCGCAGTCGAAACACGAGTTCATAATTATAGTACGTTATAAAAACTCAGATTCGCGCAACATTCCAGCTTCAATCTCTTGAACGCTACTCTGCCTCTAAGTCGCAAAGCTGAGCGCAGAAAGCAGAATAACGAACAACCAGACGCAGTCAATCTGTTTTGTGCGTCATAAGAACCGACTACTCGGTTACGGCATTCTTACTGCGAACCCCCAACTTCAACGCGGGTGACCTTCATTCTGCGAAAAACATGCCAAGCTCAAGAGACAGCGACGACGCAGGTGCGTTGCAGCCTCATATCTTGCCCGTCGATGCCGCTAACTCATACTACAGGAGGCACGAAGCTTAGCGTTGAACCACGCCAGGTCGCGGCTTGCGTGGCCACACGCTGTGAAGCGGAGGAACTCCTGACTCCAGGCCTAGGCAAAGCAAAGGCGCGAGAGCCGGAGACTGCGACCCATCTCCGTACAAGGTGAGACTGCTGACTGCTCTTTGTAGCTTGATTGTATTTCTGGCGTGAAAAAAAGGGACAGAAGCACTGATGTGGGGGACAATGGACATGTCGAGAAGCTGGCAAGATGGTTCGGACAATACGTGCAACAGTCGTGTCGTGTCAGCTATAGAAGAGAAGGTGTTATTGGGTGAACGCACTGACAACGAGGAGCTGGGCTGTCAGGGTGGAACGACGTTGGACGTGCCTGTTTATCATGTTACGAGCCCTGGATGGGAATATGCTGCTCTCAAGCAACGTGGAGATGAGTGGCTGCAGCAAGTTGTTACGTTGTACGATGATGTTTTATTGCCAGCGATGAAAGACAACGAGATGTTCGATGTGCAAGAGTTGTGGGGCTACAGCAGCGATGTATTGGAACCGAAACTGCTCCTTAAGACTGAAAAAGAGGCCGAGTGCCTCGAAGTACAATTGACTTTACTGGAGCCACAACGAATACAATGTGGTTGGTGCGAAACGCGCAGACCTGGACGGTCCTTGATGTACGACGAATCGAGCAAGATCCTACAGAAGGCGATTCGAGGAATGGATCAAATGAAGCTTCTTCTGAAAGAAGTTGTCGTGCTTGATGTGTTTGAAGGCGACTGGGGGCGGGGATTGTACGGCATCTGTTCTACTAATGATGCGGATGAGATCCAGCAGCTTTTACTTCCCTATGACATTGTGCGAAATGATGAAGCGAGGGTTCTTGGTGCTCCGTCAAAGATCGTATCACTGGCGAACGACTATCTTCATGATTTTCAGCGCACTGATATCTCGCTGACAAAGGCGTCCATGAACATCCCGTGTGTGTGGAGCCACACAGTTGCCCGGAATGGGCTAGCCAATTTGGTCGCTGAGAAGCTGAAAGAGGAAGTTACACCACCGAAGTTAGCCACTTCTTCGACGCGCGATTCCGTGTCGTTGCCGGTGCAGGACAATGACGCCAATAATCATCCTGCAACCCCATCTGCGACAAAAAAGAAGAAGAATGGCCACACTGAACCAACTTCACAGGATCACTTGGCACGATTGGTGCCTGCAAACAAAGCAGTCACTGCTGATCTGAGTACGGATTATTTGTTGAGCGAAAAGTTTCTGAGATGTGCGTGGAGTGATAGATCACCAGACCAGACCGATTCGATTGAAATCATCCCAACAGACGATATGAGCTCAAACCACTCTACAGAGGATTCAACGCTCAACCGACTTCTTCAGCAGATTGCTCGGCCAGCATTGTGGGACTTGATGCGGAAAAGGATGCTTCAGGTACACGAAACATCTTTCCAGCAGGCTCTGGATAGTGTGAGCTTGGAGGCACTGGAAGCGATAGTTTACAAACAATGTCATGAGGTGAAGAAGATGAGTCTGAACCCTTCGTCGTTTTCAAGTACCGAAATAATCGAAGCTTGTGTCAGTCTTCGTCAAGCCACTTGGCTTCATACCTTGCGGTAAGGTCTTCCTTTCTTTCGTCATCACGACGAGGTGACTGACCTGCCTATTTTGGGGGAGTGTAGGATCATTTCGATTTGCCAAGTGCGGGAAGAAGCGATGATGGCAGTCGTCTTAGCTAGGATCCTCCACAGTGCCAAGTACAAACTCATGCTCGGGTCTGCGAACTGGAACGATCTTTGTACGCTGTTGGAACCGATTGGCAAGCGTGGAGTACATATCGACACAATGATTGAGTCTGACGGACAGAAAGTCACAAAGAAAATGACGGAGAACGAGATGGTATCTCATCCACCTCACAAAAGGCAAAAAGTGATTGCTGTGGATGAAGAGACCGTGCCTGTTCGCGTCTTGTGTTCAGTCCCGTTCCTACAGCAGGTTTATTCCGCAGTCTAGTGCTCAACGTTACCATTGCAGCCTAACTGAAACGTTTTGTGGACAGCACGAGCTTCTCGATGAACTTTGCACAGAACAGCAAATCTATTTCATCGAGCGAGATCTCCCGTCACCGATCGACATTCTCGTTGACGAAAGAAACTGCATCTGTGTGGTGACTGGCGCCATATTTCAAGGTTCGTCTTCCAAAACAAATTACTTGTGGCACTATAAGCTCATCGTGTTTTTTGTCTTGTGCAGTTGAAGCAAGTATGAGGCATTTCGTTTTCAGCTTGGCGCGGGTGCAAATTCAGTTCCAGAAATGCTGGCTTGTTATTGGTACCGTGTGCTCTACCGGAGTTATCACGAAGAAAAGATGCTAGCTCATGCTCGATTGTTTGCCGTTTTGATCAGCACTTTTTAGCCCTCCTACTTCGGATATGGAAGACGTCATGAACTTGTTTCTCTCAGCACTCGTGCAGTTCCGGGTCGAAATGCAAGTGCTGACGAGGTATGAAAATCCGTTTGAGCTCGCACTGCAGCATGTCGCAAAGTTAGATAACGCAATCGTCTATGATTTGTGGCATGCAGTTTTTCGTGTGAAGAAGCTGGATGCTTCGTGCGTGCGGTCATCGATCAATGCGCTGACATCGCGCTTGATGACCGCCGCATTCTGCCCCGTATGTGGTTCGACCGCCCGTTTTTGCTCGAAGAGGAATCGCAATTTGAACGCTTTCTCGTATCAACAAGAATCGTTAATAACTACGCAGCGCAGTCCCTGTTACATAAGATATGCATGGAAGATCTGTTCACCAAAGAGTACGTGCCAGCTCCCTGGAATTGGTTTGGTTTTTGACAGCTAGTAACACTCCATTTTGCTATAGCATCACCGAGTTGAAGCTGCTCGTCCAGAATGTAGTGATGGATCATCAATTAGAGCTCTTATGGAGGTACGAAGGCATGAATATTGCTGGTATTATGCAATCTCATCGAATGTGGTAACAGACTTGTTCAGCAAGGACACGGACTCAATGGTGCTGCTTAGCGAATGTACTAATTTACCTGACATAGTCGGAGTGGGCAGAAATTACTCGTGAATTCAAATCGTTTGTCGCTGTCACCTTCCTTGCGAGCATTTCACTCGTAGTGGCAGCAGCGCCATTTCTCGAGCACTATTTTCCATGCATGGCCATGCGATGCAAGAATTTTCTAGCGCATGAAGACTTACATAATTGACGTGTCTGCGGCATTTATCTAGATGTGATAAGCCTGACCTCTAAGCAGTACGGATGTAATCTGCTTTGTCGCATGCCTAGTTCCGATGCTGGCTTTGGTGCTGGAACTGGCAGATCCTGCTAAAGCTGGAATCAAGTTACTGCTGACACGATCTTACTGAACAAGTTCTGAGCAACTAACACTGATGAAAGCTGAATCAGCCACAAGTTGATTGTCAGGCGTCATGGCATACCATGACAGGGTTACTAGTCCAGGTATGCTGTTACCAGTCGTGTGTAGGTTGCCCCCCCCTCAAGTTGTGCACGGCTTCAATGGTTGTATGTGTTTGTTGCCGTCACTACTACCACATGGTATAGGATTGGATGAATGACCTTCAGTATTCAACTGTGAGCTGGTAACTTCACATGAGAGGGCTACCAATGCCTCAGGCGTTGGGACGTTTGATACGGGACTATTGCTTCAAGTAAAGTGTGTTTGGCAGTGGTGATAGCAATGTGAGATGCAGCAAATGACAAACGACTCCAGTCAAAAGTGCTGTCAGGTCTAGTGGCCATTGTGGCCATTGACCTCCACACTCTCCGCTGCACGATTCAACATCCATAGCACATTACCTTCAGCTACTCGATCTCTGTCGTCGTCCTCTGTGCCCTCCACTAAACAACTAGAGTGCAGCCACTCACCATACGCCCGTTCTTCTCTTCTTCACAGCAAAGCTATGCCGCATTAAGACGAACCGTCCACCTGCTCTTTTTCCACAACCATCACCTCCTCTTTGACATCTGGAGTAGTGCCTGCCAATGCCTCTTTCATGCTTTCCTCCATAAACGGCATCTCACCGATAAGCACCTCGCTCTTCACACGAGGATCAGTCTCCGCGTCAGCGTTCGCTGACGTCCGCGTCTCAAACAACTGTTTCGCCTTGTCGCGTGCATCCGTGGCAGCAGCTTCCAGCACAGCAGTATCAGCAGCTGCCGCTTCCAGCACAGTAGCATCCCCTCCTTCGTCCAGCTGGGGGAGGACATATACTGCATACAGGATCACCAGCACCAGCATTTCCACGAACGCAATGTTCAGGATGAACAGAACGGCCGTCGGCACTGCCCAATGGTACATCAAGTAGCGCACCCCCGTGAGCTGTGCAATGACCGTGAGCTTTGCTGCATACACCTGCACCTGGGGCGTGTTCAGCTCAATGTCAACGCGAGTCACCGGGAACTCGGCGTTTTCCACGTATCCGTTGATCGCCGTCAGTCGAAGTGTCTGCACTGGTTCCGTGACGCCCAACGCGTACGGCACGAGCCACCACCCAAGCCTCAGCCATCGCACCGGTGCCGGCAAGCCGAGCATCATGAGCGGTCGAGCGCTCTTCGCGAGCCGTCGCTCCTTCTTGGCATCCCACAACGACGTGGTCACCATAAAGACTCCGACTTCAGCGTTCACGCGCGACTCGGGGAGCGTCAGTTCCACGATCACGTCATACTTGACTCCAGGGACGAACACCGCTGCAGTCTCCGAGGTCTCGACCAGTGACTGCCATTGATGCACTGGGTCGTGCAAGTTCATCGACGCACTGGGGACAGTGTAGCCATCCGACAGCTGCGTGATCGCTCTATGGCGCTGTCCGTAGTTGAAAAAGACGTCCTGGTCATGGAACCGGGACGGGATCACGAGGTAGTAGAGCAGGGCGTAGAGCAGCGAGGCTGTTGCAAAGAGGAGTGAGAGTCCAGCCCCGACTTGAGCAGCACGGACGACCCAGCGCAGCAGAAGCTTCGAGTACACTTGGGTCACTCGGGTGAGTGTTGCCCGCAGTCGCTGGCGAGCATCTTCGTTCTGAAGGAGCGCTGTTGCAGTCGAGGGAAGGAAGGGGAGCACCAGCGTCCACGGACTCCAGGCGGTCGTCGTCATGCTGTGTGAGCTCCAACCTGTCGAGAGATTTCAGGGATACTACTAACGGTTGGATCGGTTCCGATCAGGATGGAAAACCCCAACGGGTTGGACTGACTCATCCGGAGAAGGTCGTTTCGTCGGGAGTACTGTCGGTCGGTCGTTTGATGACATATGACTATCTTAAGAGGCTTTGTACGTGGCTACCGACGGCTCGTGGCCACGCTCGTGGCGCCACAGAGCTGTCCGATCTGTCTGGAGGTTGTCCCGGTGCTGGAGCTACGCGACGTTGAGGGCAGAGACAACGAGGAGGCGCATGTCAAGCTACAGTGTCGCCACCGCTTTTGTGCTGGTGCTGTACCTGATCCAGTCGTTCCGAAATGACGACCACTTTGCCTGCTCGATCTCACGTCTTGTGTCCATGTGGTTGTCTTGGTTGTAGCATGTATGCGGAGGTACATTGAGATGAAGATCCAGGCGCGCCAAGTCGATGAAGGTGCAGTTGATGCAAGCTGAAAACGTAGTGGGAGATGAGGTGAAGGCAAGTCACGTGGCTGCTGCTGCTGCTCTGTAGATCATCTCGTGTGTCCCGTGGTGACCTGTAAGCAGCGGATCAAAGAGGACGCGATCCTGCGCGTTGTGGGGCAGGACGGAACGGCTCGGTATCGGGTGGTGTTGAAGCGCCAGCAAGTACGTTGAAGCAGCAGGTGGCCAGTGGTTCACGGATCAAGCGAGCGACTTGTGATTGACGTGCGCGGGCTTTTGTTCCTGTGAATGGTTGACCAGGATGAGAAGAACCCGAGCGCGCGGTGGTGTCCACGACCAGGTTGTGACGAGCTCGTTGTCTGTGAAGACACGGCCAACTTTACTTGTCCGAAATGCGAGACCGTGGGCTGCTTTCGTTGTCGGGGCTATGCGCATTGGTTCTGGTTCTGCCGCGGTGAGGAAGACAAATCGTATCTGGCCTGGGAAGCATCAGTCGGAAAGCAGAGAGCAGTGCGGGCATGTCCTCACTGCCAGATGCGAATCTGGAAGAACGAAGGGTGCAACCACATGACGTGCACGCGGTGTCGGTTCGAGTACTGCTGGGTCTGCGACAGCACGTGGGATGCCAGTCACTATGCATGCTACGACCTGCCATTTGTAAAGGCCTCCACTGCTTGGGGCCGTCGATTGCAGCGTACGTTGGGGTATGCGTCCATTGGATTGATCGTGGCCGTGATCTCGGCGTTTGGCTTCTATACCTTCGTGGCCGGCTACGTATTGTTCTGCGCCATGGTGCACGCCACTCGTTTAGCTCGGCGCCACTTTGAAAATGTCGCCGCCGTTGCCAGTTGACAGCTCACGAATGATGAGGAGAACAATGAGGTCTGCTGCGCAACAAAACGATGGGGCTGAGAGAGATTTACCAGTTAGTTGGGCTGCATGTACCCGTCTTGCAGACTCTGCGAACACACTGCGTGCTTACAAGATCACATGGACATGTTAGACACATCGAGCCCTTGCACTTACTTGCCTGGTTGCCGCCACGAGTTACCACCACGACTCTCAAGGGCCAGGATACTTGCGGAAGATGTGGCCGGGCAGGATCCACTGGTCCCAGTCCTTCTCGTATTTGAGGTAGTGCACGTAGCACGCGTTCGTGCGGACGACCTTCAGCACCTTGGCGTTGTACAGGTCACCGTTACTACCCCAGCGTGCCATCACTGTCTCGTCCACTTCAGGTGTCTTCTTCAAAGCCACCTTCTTTCCCTTCTTGCGCTGAAAGAGAGACGATACTGGCAGGTACTCGTCGTAGATGGACTCCCAGTCCGAGTAATGGATCTGTACGAGCACCTTGTCATGGACGACCTTCAACACTTCAGCCCGGTTGCGCTTCTCAAAGACCTGCACGCCAATGGTGTCTCCCACCTTCAGATTCAGCGAGTTCCAGTGAGCGGTTGCAGCTGTTGCTGCCACCTTGCCCTGCGACAGCTTTTTCTTGCTTGCTGCCGCCGCAATGACCCGCTTCGCTTCAACCGTGTCCTCGTCATTCAGATCAGTCATAGCTTGCCCAGTGACCGAAGAATCGAGCGCCAAGTTCTTCTTCGGAGTCAACTTAGCGCTCGGGTCAACGCGCATTAACATGAGGTCAATGTCTTCCAGAAGCTTTTTCCAGTCCCACGCGTCTTCGGTGGGCAGCACTTGCTCCAAGGATAGCATACGGCAAGCATGACGCAAGCCACGCAGCGTGTCCAGCTTGCGCAGCGTAATGACCGTATTGTCGAGGACCTCGTTGTTGGCTTGATAAGCGTTCTCGATCGCAGACATCACATCGTGCGCAGCATTCCAAAGTATCTCAGCGTGATTAATGGACGGGGAATCCTGCGCCAGGAATGACCGCAGAAAACCAGTGAGGTTTGCCGTGTCGACGTGGAAACGGTGATACGACAAGCACGCCGTGACGTTCTCACAGGCATGCAACGTGCTCTCAGGCATGTACAAAATCTGCCCTGGCTTCACGCTGACCCGCCACGCTGGCAGGAATGCCAGTTGAGGAGACTTGTCTAAATCAATGTCGTGAAAGTTCACGGATTCGTGCACAGAGTCCAACTTGGCTGCATCGCGGTGCAGCATCGTGACACGTTTTGTACCGACGATTGGAGCGATGGTGATACCCAAACCACCCGGATCCAAGTGCATACGACTCATCGTGCTTTTCTGACCCATGAAGAGATACTGTAGTGGGTTGTCACCACGCACGGCGTCCAACCAATATTGCAGCAGGTTGTCCCCAAGCACAGGCAGCTCTTCGCTCTTGTAGCAAAGCAGTGAACTAGCTTTCGGGTCCAAAGGAAATTGCCACTGATGCAGGTAGTAATCTGACTTGCCGTGCTCCCAATAGTTCTTGACATAGTAACTCAGCGGCAGATGAGTCTTGATGGGACTTCGCTCCTCGTAGTTGCGCTCTAGCACCGGCACTTTTACATCGTGAATGCCATGCAGGAAAGCTGTGGTGTCCAGCGTGCCGTCCGACTTAACCCAGCCACGCGCAAGCTTTAGCCAGCCAGTGTGCCCCTCTAGCAAGAACGGCTCGCCTGCGAAGCGCTTCGCCTGGATCATTTCTTTCGCCAGGCGGTTGCTCACATTGATCACCTCCACCTTCTTGTAATACAAATGCTCCCATCGGGTTGGGATCGTGTGCATTGGGTTGGTAGCACGCAACTTGGCCTCCTCGGAGTCATATTTTGTCTCCTCTGCCAACGCTGACCTAAGTGGGAGAGCGGCACCGTCGTCTGTATCTGCGCCGGTGTTACCAGCCTTGAAGCGCTTGCACTTTCCATCCGACTCGGTCACCGTACTCTTGCCAAGAGAGTGTTTGCGAGCAGTTCCTGTCTGCTTGCCAGGAGTTGGCGCCAGCTTTTTCCCACCCAACTCTTCTTCACCAGCCCCTGTCGCAGGTGTCGCCTTTGTCTCAGCAGGGATCGTCCCCACCTCCGCCATGTCATCTTTTGCTGCAGACTCGATGGCTGTGCCACGGAATACTGGGGGATGTGATGGCAGCGTTTGGCCCGTTAAAACTGCAGAGAACAACAGCATCAGGTCGTCAGCCTTTCGTCTGCGACAAAAAACATCATCAACAGCTTGGTGCACCTCGTACGATACTGCCCTTAAAGTACTCAAGCGCCTCCTTGTTGTCCTTGAGCAATACCAGCATCTCCTTCATGGCAGATGCAGCACCAATGGCTCTAAGTAAAGCCCAATCAGAAAAAAAACACACACCACCAAAGTCAGTCACTCGACCTGCACAGCACCCCGACATGCTCCCAGCACCCACTTTCGATCCACCAGCTGCTTTTGCATATCACGCGTCTTCTGGATCAGTTCGGGATGACCGACGAGTCCCTCGCTTACCTACACGCAACAATCCCGAGTGTCAAGAGTCCTCTCCTCTATGGATCCCTACACACAGACGCACGACAAACAAGTCGCACGCACTTGCAGAATAATAAGTCCCAACTGACTCGTCTCCAGCGGCGCCGAGGTGGCCAGCACGCCGTCGTCCAGCTCCACATGCTGCTCGAACGCCCTCGCTTCCGTCTCCATTGGTTCTGCCGTGAACGTGCAAATGGCGACTCGGAAATCGACCGCAAATTTTCATCGACTTGGTCTCACGTTACACACCAATGTTTACACGAGGTAAAGAAAGGACGAGTGAGAACTAACTGCAGCGGTGTTGGGACAGAAAGATACAATCGACGAGTCATTGACGGATTTCGTGACGACCAGTTAGTAGGTAAGGTGTTTGTCTTCGTATAAAGCTTTAACAACTTGCGCGTGTTGTCTCGCAATGCAGTGCACACGTTGTACCTGAAAATGGTAATCGGCTTAACCCGAAAATCGCCTAGCTAGTAACGATCATGTCGATGAAGCATTTGCCATTGATTCTGTTGGTATCCGACTTGACAACTTCAAGGCGGGGATAAGCCAAACTGTGCCTGGAATAGCTTCCCCCGGTCTACAGTCACCTTTCACCAGGTCCTATCCTTGCACTCGTGTGATCACTAGTGCCTTTTCACCGAGCTTCATGATTACTTCAATGCATCGTTTTTGATCGATTCTGTCAGCTTACAAGGGCGTTGAGATATAGAAGCTCTCACTTGCGCATGATGCGCTCAACCAGCATCTTCCGAGCGTAAATTGTCATGCTACGCTCAACCAGCATCTTCCGAGTGTAAATTGTCATGCTACACTCAACGTGCATATCTCGGCCGTAAATGTCTTCTCGTACATGCGACAATCAAGAACCATCATACATAATTAATCGGATCAAGGTCTGGTCCGTCGCTGGTCACACGGGATCGAGGCGATGTGTCTGTAGCAGAGTATCGGTACTACTGACCGTATTGATTAACGCATTGTCTTGTTGGAAGACTAACAAACATCGGACGTTTTAAGGCATGTAAACGTGATTAGGCATTTCTACTCACGTTTGCATGCTATAAAACGTTCAAGCGTTTACGTTCGTCTTGCACGCTGTCCTGGCAACCTTCGGTGTAATGAGGCAATACAACGGTTGGTATAACCTTATGGGGACGTGTGATCCACACACAAAAAAGATCAGTGAAGCGGATAAGCGCAATATTGTACCCCAATGCACTAGCTGTAATACGTTGCCTTATCGATTACGGTAAGATGATCTTTATCGTAAAAGGGCATCCTAAGTACGTTGTAGATCTGATGTAGTGATATTAGAAGAACCTACATAAGGGTTGCTAGATTAGGTGTAACGGGGTGAATCGTTACATAACAATTTATAAGAAATTGTTAATAGAATATAACTATAAGAGTTATATTCTCAGAATATTGTCATAAGGACAATATTCTGTAGCACTTCCGAGTAGTTCCTAATTGGTTGATATAGGCCATTATATCAACCAACGAAGACGCGCCACGACAGACGCACGCAATGAGTGGTGAGCAGATAACTGATTTACACATTTGTATTTAGTCATAGTTAGATGAAGATAAATAGTGATTTATTGCAGACATTAACTATTATAAATACAGTTCTACTTTTTACTCTAACCGAGTACTCGCTTCTTCTTACCGTCTTCCTCTGCACGTACGAGTGTACGTGAAGTTACGAGGCACCGCCTTATTCTGTTATCAGAATAAGTAGCTTGTACTGTCACCAGTACAAGCTTCAGGGTGCCCCGTTACACCTGGTAGCACTTCGTAGTCCGTCCAAGGACCGCGTTCACATCCAACATGAATATGTTGGATGATGAAGATGACCAAAGCTTTCACGCTACGCGTGACGGCTACTCCCATTTGAGCGATGTCGAATGGGATGCGGTTGAACGAATGGGTTCGACCATGGGCATCCATGCTGTTAGCGTCATGCTAGAGGCTCTCAATAGAGATGCCCAACATGCTACTATCGCCAAGTTCATTCAAAATGAACTTGACGCAGAACGCGAGAAAGTAGCCTTGCTTCACCAACAAGGTTCTCAACAAGCAGAGTTGTTGAGAGAACAAGGTGCTCAACAGTTTGAACTGTTGAGACAGCAGCAGGCTGCTGCTGGCGGGTCGATGCACTCGCGTCGGCCCGAGACTTTGAAGATTGACATCTCAAAGTATAGGGGGTCGAAGAAGACTCCCTCTTGAGATGGTTCGTCGAATTGGATGACGCCATAAGGGCGCGTCGCATCGACGACGGGGATATGCAAGTTGCATTTGCCCAGTCAAATCTGGCAGGACGTGCCAAGACTTGGGCACTGGGGCTCAAGCTGCACGACCCATACGCGTTTGGGTCGTTGGAAGTCTTCAAGTCGCGGCTCAGACAAACGTTTGAACCGCCTAGAGCTGAGTTCAGAGCTCGAACCGAACTCTTGAAGCTCAAGCAGGGTAAGCGTGATGTGCACGCTTACGCTCAACATATACGACATCTCACGAGTTGTATAAGTTCCAATCCGGTGGATGAACACACGTTGGTTTCGGTGTTCATGCAGGGTCTTGCGGATGGTCCCGTCAAGACTCACCTGTTCCGGCTTGAACTAGATTCACTAGAACAAGCCATTTCAATTGCGGAGCAGGAAGACTTCAGTCTGAGACAGGCTCGCGCCAGCTCGACATCATATCGTCAACCGAGACGATATGACAACGGAGGTCCAGAGCCGATGGAACTCTGTTATGTAGAGAGCGAGAAGGCTCGCTCTACAGGCTACAAGAAGTTGCAGAGATGCAACAGATGTCAAAAGACAGGACACTACGCTTACGAGTGTAGTGCCCCTCGTCCAGTGTCTCGCGACACTGGGCGTAGTGACCGTCCACCCATGAGAAAGGGGCAGGGACGAGGGTCCGCAGTTGGTGCAAAGACGCAACAACGGGATGGACCGTCAAAAAAACGGACAGGATCAGTAGGTGCGGAGCACCCTACTGATCCAGCAACGTCAAGAGAATTTGTAGGCCTCTTGATGAAGGTTGCTCCCAACACACAGACGTTGTGCGTTGCTGCTCTAGGTAATGAGATCTCACTCATTACCTTGAAACTCGAAGTGACGAATAAGTTGTCCCTTCGAGCTCTAGTCGATTGTGGGGCGTCCAACAATTTTGTGCGACGCCAATCGCTAGAAGATGGTCACTTTAAATTCAGTGAATGTGACACACCTCCTACGAGGATGACGGTACGTCTTGCGACAGGCGCATCCGTAACCGTCATGAAGCGTATAGTGAAGATTCACTATACGCTAGAAGATACCCAATACGACGATGACTTTATCGTATTGGATTTGGATGAAAAATTTGATGTCATCCTTGGAATACCGTGGCTCAGAAGGTACGAACCACGGGTAAACTGGCAACATCGGACAGTAACGATGCCTGCCGCTTGTTCATCAGATGGCCATCTGATGAACGTTTTGGAGCGTCCACAAGCGTGTGGATGTACTACGAGTGAGTGCGATGGCCTCACTTGTGGTACGGTCGTTAGTACGACTGCACAAAACCTTAGTGTACCAAACGGTTACACTTCGGAGCCAAGTTCCGGCGGCTGTGAGGAAACACAGGCTGCGCCGAAGGTCCACCACTCGAATAAGTCGGGTGGACTGGGACAAAGATGTATCCCTAGAGGGGAACATCTAGAAGAGAAACAATCGATCGCTCAGGTTAAGCGAAACGATAATCCTAGATCGACTGGAGAGTCTTTCGTAGAGGATCTCGCTGTGGTTGCGCAACCCCAGCTAGAGGAAGTAAAGGGAATAAGTCCCAAGATTACAAATACGGCGGAAATAAGTTCCCCGAAACCCGCGGGAATAAGTCCCCGGGAAGACGAAGGAATAAGTCCTTCGAAGCCTGAGGGAATAAGTCCCCAGGAAATGACAGAGACATTGAATGTCATAGTCAATAACGGATCATGTGTAGGCGCTTATACACTTGATCTGATTGCGCCTCCGAAGTTAACTTCGGAGATCACTCAGTTGCCAACGCTCGAACATAAAAGGTTCTTGCGTGATCTGCGTAGTGGCAAAGTCAAGCAGATCTGCATACTCGTCGCTGACGACGAGTATGTAACCGACATAAGGTCAGCAACAGTGTTTACTGAGAACGAGAGAGTTCTCAGTAGTTCATCTATGGACGAGAGTGTCCTAGATGAAAAGACACGAATTGAGCGATATGAGTCCCAATCATGGGAATCGCTCAAGGAAAATCCTCTCTATGAAGATTTGGTTGAATTCAAGGATGTATTCCCTGAAACTGTTCCGTGCGAATTACCGAAGGATAAAGGTATTCGACACGAAGTCGAGCTTAAACCAGGCTCGAAGTACTGTGTCATGAAGCAGTGGCCACTGCCTCGTGAACAAGTACTTGCGATCGACAAGTTCTTTGCCGATCGTTTAGCAGCGGGCCATGTGAGGGAATCAACTTCCCCACATAGCTCTCCGACCTTCTGTGTGCGAAAAGCAACAGGAGGGTGGCGGATAGTGCACGCGTTTAACAAATTGAACGCTGCAACGGTACCGGCTCAGACGCCGATACCGAGGAAGGACGTAATCATTGATGGTATGTCAAAGAGTACCATCTTTTCGTCCATGGATTTGATGGATGGCTTCTATCAAATCCTAATGCGGGAACGGGATATACCCTATACCGCAGTTAGCACGCCTAGCGGCATGCTCTGGGAATGGCTAGTAATGCCACAAGGGCTCAGTAATGCCCCTGCCACGTTCAACAGATGTGTATCACATCTGTTGAGACCAGTACGAGAGTTCGCGCCGAGTTATTTCTATGACGTATTCATCCATAGTCGAGCTATGGATGGAAAGTCGGACGTTGAGGTTCACAGGTACCACGTCCGACAAGTTCTTACAATCATGCGAAAGCATCAATTGTATGCTAACCTCAAGAAGTGTATATTTGCAGCAAGCGAAATACCACTTCTTGGGTGCATCGTTGGTAAGAACGGTGTACGTCCTGATCCCGAAAAGATCAAGGCGATCACCGACTGGCCTGTGCCGGTCGATGTCAAAGGTCTTCGAAAATTCCTTGGGCTAGCGGCGTATTTGCATAAGTATTCACGCAATTACGCCGAGATGACTGTACAC